ACAGCACATGTCTGCGGTCTCATCTTTCCATTTTAAAGCGCTGCAAAATCGACACGCCTTGTCCATCAGTCCGATAAAAAATAATCTGTGATTTTTATAATCAATCAACGGATAATAATTGAATGCTGCGTCATTAAAAACCAACCAATTATTTCTTTGAAAATTTGTCGACGTTCAGCTTAGAGCTGTGTATTTGCATCTCTTCGCGGCTGTGTCTATTCTGGTGTTTCAGATGCCCTTATAGTAGATTGACGTTCAGCTTGCTCAATGAGTCTGTGTTGAGTTTCATCAGGTGTTTCCGCGGCTCTTAAGGCAGCCTGACGTTCCGCTTGTTCGAATAGCCTTTGCTGACTTTGAGCAGGTGTTTCAGTAGCTCTTAAAGTAGCTCGACGCTCTGCCTGTTAAAGACGCCTTCGCTGACTTTGAGAAGGTGTTTCAGAAGCTCTTAAAGCAGCTTGACGCTTTGCCTGTTCAAGACGCCTTTCCTGACTTTGAGAAGGTGTTTCGGAAGCTCTTAAAGCAGCCTGACGCTCTGTCTGTTCAAGACGCCTTTGCTAAAGTTGAGAAGGTGTCTCAGATGCTGTAAAAACAGCCTGACGCTCTGCTTGTTCTTGCCTTCTCAGTTCAGCATCTTCTAAAGATTCTAGCGATCTAGCTAATCTTTTCGCTTGTCTTTGAGAAGATACTCTTGAATGGCTGGACTTACTTTTGTGAGGCATTATGAAGTAACATAGAACCTATTTATGAAAAAACGTTAAAATACCGAAAAGGAATTAAATTTCCTTTTAAATATTTTTTTAAAATCAAATACAAAAAATCTAAAAGGAATAAATATTCCTTTTAAATATTTTTTAAAATAAAAACAACAAAACCAATTCAAGACACAATGCGAATCCAAAAACGATAGCCAAAAAAAATCGAATCAACTTAAACCAAATCACAAAACAAATCGCAGAAAACCGAAATCGAAAGCAGTAGTCAATATAAATATAACCAACAAAAAAAGAAGTAAGTGTATAGGTACCGTATACACTATCTATACTATTAATATTCCTTTGAAATATTGTTAAACAACCAAAATCAACGAAAACCAATTCACGATTCTAAATAAACAAAATCTAAATATGTATAAAGGAATACCAACCAAATCAACAAAACCGATACAAGAAAATACACAAATCCGAAAATGAAAGCCAATATATATCCATTCAACCTTTATTATACTCATGTTAGTACAAAACCGGCCACCTGGAAATCATTAAATATATTTTAAGTTACTCGTGTATTTAAAAGATGAAAATGCCTAGGATAATATTTAGAAATAAAAAAATATTCACATTTCTACGGCAATCTAGAAACATAGTAGTTACTTTTGAATGTCTAAATACACTCCCAGCATTCCACATCAGGTGTTAGTTTAAGATACGCCAACAATAGGAGTATGAAATCTCTCCTCTCATATATGTATATATTTTAATTCTACGAGATCAGCAGTGCGATTGTCATTTTCTAATAGATCATTTGCCGGTGGTAATCAACACGCGAACGCGTCATGGTTTTTTATTATGATAACATTATGTTGCTTAAATAAGGTGACATATTTTTTTAGTCAGCTTGAAATCAATACTAACAGGCATCACCAGCCACCACACAATGTCTACTCTTCTGTATATCTATATATCTTTCCCTGCTACCTTTAAATTATGTTTAATCTTATATGGTTTCATTTGATTCCGGAAATAAATATATTTTATTTATTTATTGACGTTAAACTATTGACGTCTTTCTATGTACTAGTCCAATCATTTGAGCTTAGAGAGGTGAACAAATATAAAACACATAAGATAAAAAATATTTTTAATATTAATTGTATTGCTATAGGCGGAAACTACGGACTTCCATTTAGCATGATCCTGAAACACTTCTCCCATCTTCTTCATATTCGTTTCTTCATTACTACTATTCATTTAAACAAAAACTTAAAACTCTCTGAAAAATAAAAAAAAGTCTTGTGCCCCGTAGTGGGAAGATGTATTTTTTTAATCTTCTTACTACATATTATTTTACTACCACCTCATATTAAAAAAAGTAATTTCTAATATTTAAAGATTCAAACAAACATAAAGTAGTTACAAAAACTTTACCTAACGCCAAAATGTTACGGTATTTACATGTTTGAATTATAATTTATATATATATATATATATATATATATATATATATATATATATATATATATATATATATATATATATATATATAAAACAAACACATATATATATATATATGTTTGTGTGTGTGTATATATATATATAATCAAAAATTTTGATCTAACTTTCTTGACTTACTTATTATATAAATATGGTTAACACAGACACAATTTTTAAATAATTTACAAATAATTCTAGTAAGCCAAAACCATATAAATAAAAAATAAGGTATTTAAGATTGTGAAACGCTAATTACTGCGATGGGATATCTTTAGTGCGGTATGAAGAAATCTTGATCCTTGATAGTTGGTGTCAAGAACGGGAAACAACGTTTATAATGTGTACAGCAAAGTGTGGAATAATTTGCCAGCATCTTTGGTCTCGTCTTTACCAAGACGAGACCAAAGATGCTGGCAAATTATTCCACACTTTGCTGTACACATTAAAAACATTTAAAAAGGGCACCCTTGCCCTCAAAGCAAGAATGAAAACACTTTTGTTAACTCTTCAATATGGACACGCTCAGATCCGACCAAAGCTTATATTCCGTCAAATTCCAAGCCGTCGGATGCGACCACAGCACTTAAACCATAAAAGCTTATATTTAGAGACTACTTGTCTATGAAGAAGTTTGGTATTTATAGGCCCCATGTGAAATTTTCTATCCTCTAAGCTAGGGCAGTGTGCTGTACGATCTTTTATTCCACTATCCAATATCTTCCCGTGAATATCATAAGAAGCAACAGGGGGATATAAACGAGGAGATGAACGGCAGCGCCTTCTTAGTAACAACTAGAAAGCTAAAAAACTGCGGTTGAAAATCTGCCTGACAAGCGTGAAAACTATGGCAAACATCTCCCTTTTGAAACAGTCTGAGAGGAGGCTTTTGTTCAGCAGTGAAGCTTTAGTAGGCTGTAATGGATGGGTATATCAATATAAATTAAAATGAGCTTGATCTAAGTGTATGTACTTATGTATGAAATGGTTTATTATTAATTCCGTTTGCACCCACTTCCGGACGTCTGAATAATTTGAAATTGTGCAGATGTAATAAAAAAGATACTTTCACGAATGCGACCTAGTATTCTCACCAGATCATTAGAGCTGTTTCAAAGATCAATGCGTGTAGTTTTAATTTTATTTATTATATATTCAAAAAAATTTTATAATTAAAAAATGCTTTCTAAGCTGATTACATTTCCACACATAATATACGAACAGAACATTAATAATAATGACCTCCAGACTTAATATCGAGCATGGCAAAGAGTCTCAATGAGCACAAATCCAGCACAGAACAGGTTTAAAGTGCCCGAGTGTACGCACGAGTACGGGCACACTCTATTCCATTACTTACACACTTACTTCATTTCTAACTATTTATGAAACTATTGTAACTATGTAAAAAGTGGGAGAAATAAATGTTTATTATTATTATTATTATTTTATATTCTTTTCTTGGCACGGGGGTAACACCAATAACTTACTGACTCCGGGCTGCTATGAAAATTTATAAAAACCCTATAACTGATTTGAGCCCTTTTGTGCATGACACGGGATCACCCAGTATATTAACTACGTCCCCTAGATATAGAGATACGAGCACTACACCAACGAGTAATTCGTAAAAATGGATGACATTAATCTCTATTAATGTCATCTATTTTTACGAGGATCTGCACAGTATAAACAGGTCATCTGTCACCGTAGGTAAGAGAAACTTCAAGTGCAAACGATTTTCTAAAAGCTTACAAGTTTCCGAAGGTGTAATTAACGTGCCGCAATGAAACCAAGACCCTCACCGTGACGTACAGGCGGCGGAACGACTTAACTATTGGATTAGTTTTTTGTGTTTTCCTGCATGAGATACTCCTTATACTTTTGAACTTGATTTCTTTAAGCGAAATGAATGAAAAAATTCATTACGGTCTATGTTTCTGTTTCTAGATACTTATTATGAGTGTTGTTAACGTGTATTAGTAAAAAAATAATAAATATAGAAACATATTTTTTTTCTTCTTCTTCAACTCTCGAAGTCAACTACTAGATTTAGGCATCTTAAGTTGTAAGGAGGATTTGTATTAATTGTAACGCTTGAAAATGTTTTCTGTATATATGTACACATATTGTTTGCCGTGTGGTGTGCGGCGGAGTAGAATAGCACCACCCCATATTTACCTGTGGGTGTCGTAGAAGGCGACTAAGGAAGTGTGGAAAATGACTGACCCCCTGTACCTTTTCCACTGATATACCTACTGTTCCATCTGTCCGCGTCCCTCTTCGGTCGTAACAGTCTCCGTTCCACTGGTCCTGTGTCCGCGCGTACACCTATGCACGTTAATATCTCCTGCGCAATTGACCTGCTTCCAATTAGGACTCCGATCTAAACCAATGTCCTACGGCGATGGGAGGAGGTAGAGAGGCTTAACGTTATGATTGTTGGGTTCTGTCTCACTCCTGCACGTAGGCCGTCTTTGGGGTGTAGTATACATCGTGGTCGTTTCTGCTACGCATCGCGGTGACAGATCAGATTTGGCAGCACTCAAGGTGACAAAGCAGCCCTATTCAGGGAGGCACTGATTTCCACGCTCAGCCGGGAAGGGGGCTAGAAAAGGTGCCCTAAACAAATAAAAAAAAAACTCCAACGCTTTAGGATGGTAGCAAACGAGCCTGCCTCCGCATCACAAATCCGTGGTCGACGCCACAGAAAAAATAATGACCATTTTAATTTATCAAAATCAATGACATTTGGCGCGTGGAATGTGCGCACACTTCTTTACTGTGAAGAAAATGCCTGCCGCTTTAATATTGATGTGGCTACACTCAGCGAAACACACCTTCCCGATGAAGGAAGTATACGGCGGCGAGTATACTTTCTTTTGGAAAGGACTCGCTTTCTCAGAGCCGCGAAGGTCTGTTGTAGGCTTTGCTGTCAAGAACTACCTAGCTACTCAACTAATAGAATACGTTGTACACGTCTCGGATCACATTACCAAATTGAGCCTTTACATGGAACGTGAAAACTATCTGAATGTCATCAGTGCCTATGCCCCTACGCTAGACAAGTCGGATGAAAACAAACTCTACGAAGAAACAGGACAAATTCTACGAAGAATTGACGCAGTGCATAGATCGTATCTTAGGCTACTTTAATACCCGAGGAAGACGAGATTATGACGATTGGCCTAAAGTTCTGGGCAGACATGGTGTTGGTAAAATGAACAGCAGCGGCTAACTGTTTCTTAGTCTTTTTGCACAATTAGATCTTGCAATTACAAATACTATGTTCATATTACCTGCCAAGTACAAGGCAACGTGTATTCACCCCAGATCGAAGCATTGGCACCTTATCGATTACGCTATCGTGCGTCAAAAAGACGTCTCTCAAGTGCAAGTCACCCGTGTCATGCATGATGCTCACTTTTGGACTGATCACAGGCTTGTTATTATTAAATTAAATCTTCGTCTTTCACGTTCTTATAGATTTGAAAGATCTAAACAGATACGTCTGAATCTTGAACGACTTCAAGATACTAACACGAGGGCTAAATAAGCTGAAACGTTGAGCACTGCTGTGCAGCCCCTCGACCTAAAATCAGGTGAGATCAATACTATCTGGGAGTCTCTATCCCTATTGTTTGAGAGTCCGAAAACATGAGAACTGGTTTGATAAGAAAGATGGGGTACCTACTTACGGACGCTATTGATAAACACCGTAGGCTCCTAAAGCAGCACAGTAGAACTCATCAGAGTGGAAGTGTTATGGAGTTGCGTCATAGTGATCTGGAGCTGCATAAACTCGCACGACAAGCAAAGGATAAGTGGTGGCAGGAGAAGGCTAGTCAGATGCAGTGGCTCACTGATACCAACCAGCTCGGTGAGTTTTATTGTGAGCTACGACATATGCTCGGTACGTCCTCTATGGCGAAACTTCCACTGAATTCTACTAGTGTCCACCTTGTGCGATAAACTATAATTTCTGTAATGGTGTGCTCACCTGCCCGCATTGCACGCAAACATTTGTAAATAAGATTGGCTACGTTAGCCATGCACGAGCGCACCAACGACAGGATCGGTGTTGAAGAGGTTCTGTGGCCGAAATCATTCGAGGAATATATAATATAGGTATATAAAATATGTATGTATATATATATATATATATATATATATATATATATATATATATATATATATATAGGCAACTAATATATTATCCAATAACCGATGAAGAAGAAAACTTCTCGAGTGGTAGCTTTGTATGCGAAGTGTAGGGCGGCTCCCCACTAGATGGAGTGACAACCTGGTACGAGATGCAAGAAGTCGATGGATTTAGGTGGCTCAGGACAGTGCTTTGTGCATATGTTTTGCGGTGAACTTGATAACTATATATTTTAATTTTTTAAAAGTTGCCGTCAACTTATCTACCAAACTTAGCTAACATGTCAAAGATTTCAACCAGCAAGAAATCCAGTGGGATTATTTTTTATAAATATATAAGCTTACAATTATGTCGTAAAGTTATGAAAATGAATTAATATAGAAACAGACTTGCTTTGATTGTTTCCTCGGTGTTGTAGTAGCTATTAGAATTTGTCTGCAACGCTGTGGGCTGCGGGTTCATATCTCGCATGAAGCAAGCACTCGTATTTACGGGTCTACAAATATTTTGGTACGGCTCTAGACGTTTGTCTATGTGTAATCACGTTTGTAAAATATATTCAAGACAAAGGAGAAATTTGTAATGAGGTAATGAAAAAAACAAAAACATATTTTATTTATGTATATCTTAATATTATGTAGTTACTTTTTTTTTAGATTTTTTTTTGTTCATTGAAAATAATTAAATATTTACTGGAAATTTTATACAAAAATAAGAATATAAGTTACAACAGGTCCTCTAATGAATTACTAGCTCTGCCGAGTCGAGTAACTGGCATTACGAGTTTAAGTATATTCCGAGTATTTACAGTACAAATATCTCTTTTCTTATTAAGGTTACTCTATACACCAAATGAAGATACCTCTTAATTTAATTTGTTTACATCTTTATTACTCTATATTTATATGCTGTGAAGGCAACACAATTTGCTTTATTTAATTTTTTTGCACAATAGGGATAATTTCCGTTTTCGTTTTGTCTTCATAAATCTTGTTGACTGGAGGATAGGGGCAGGAATTGCAAACGAAGAATTAATGTACATCTCTCTTTTATGATTCATTATATCCCATGTATGCTCCAGCTGATCGAGAAATGAGTAACGAGAAACGAGACGAGGCACTGAAGATGGGCCAGTTGGTGTACCAGTTCTAAAGGCTAGTGCACCTCCTGTGTTGTCAGGCTTGTTCCACCGCTTATTAAGGACTTAATTGTACCAAAATCCTAGCAACTAGCTTATGTGAAGCCTAAATATAAAAAGACCGTCGTGAAGAAACTGCCAATTATAGATAAATCTCAATTTTCGACGACTCCGTGGCGCAGTGGCTTAGAAATGAGAATGGAATTTACGAGGGATCGGCAATGGTAGGCCCATTCATTACGGTAACTGATGATGTTAATTCAATAAACAATAAAAGAATACAATATTCTTTATAAATTTTTCTTAAATACTTTTACTGGGATGCAGCTATGTGTGCATCGCTGTATTGTGGTCTATAGGCTATAGAAAGCTAGTTTAATAAGAGACAGTAACGCATAACATTTAAGTTCTCAGAAGTGACAACGCATTTGTAGCTTACTTTTCTTTGGTTACAGGTGTCCACAGGCTGAAGTAGCTACATAACATCATTAGACTGTAAGTTTGTTGATCACTTCAAGTGAAAAAAAAATGTAAAAGACTCAGAACTTACTGATAACAGACGCCACAAAGGTTACATGTAAAATATAGGTAAAGATTAGTTCATAGCTGACAGTAAATTTTCCACAAGCTCATTATAAAGCAAACTTGAAACAAAAAAAGGAGAAAATATATCTTGAGTAACACTTACCTTACATTAAATTTTCAAAGACATGAAAGTGTCACTATCATTTAAAGAACACATTTTGTAAGTAGTTTAAAGACGGTAGTGTTACATAGGTAAGCTCGTTACATGAAGCGATGCCATCTTTGAGTTTTATTCCACAGAGTTGAGTACTTCTAGACATTTTGCTTCCAATTAGATTTTTTATTCATTAAAATATAATAGGTGGTACTGAAATATTATTATAATATTATAATTTTGTATCACTTGGTTTTTTATATATTTTATAGCGAGTAAATATGAAAAATCTTAGGATCTCAGCACTATACTCAAAAACCTCAGTAGTTTTTCGCTTTATATAGGTTTAAATGGTACATATATAAGGCAAAAGTATTTTGCGATGCCCAATTCGCACCTGTGCCCATAGCTGTTTGCAGCACTGCATTCAAAGTTGTTGACGAGTGTGTTTACCTAGGATAAGCTGTCAAGCCCTACTTCAACCGAGAGGTTAATCAACATATCCAACTTGTTATTCAGGATGCGGGAGATTACGACACATCATTGCCTACCTCAAAACTTGATAATAAAACTGTATTGCAACAAATGCATGTTACTATTGATGTATTTATATAAATCTGCCATTCACTGCAGGCCATATGAGGAACATCAAGGTCAGACAGCGAATTATGGAGAGGGTTTTACGCGGAATATCTTTGGTGTCACCTCGTGTGAACCAGAGTAACCGTCAAAGTTAAACGGATCTGTAAGGAAATGGCTGCGGCCAGTGATAGTGATTTACAGGGCAGAAGGGTTCTTAAAAAGTTTTGTGGCATTCTTTAAAAAAGGAATCGGGTCGACTTTCAAATATTTGCAAGCTGAAATCAACCAGAATATATGCAGTCTCACGAATATACAGTTAGGGTGAAGCGAAAAAAATTTCTTCACCTTGTCATAATATAATAGTGCTCAAAAGATGCCTTTAGGAATCAAATTAACTCATGCAAAATATTACTTGGATTGATTCAGAGTATCCGCCGATCTTGAAATACTTAAGTGACTAAGAAATTCGGAAAACAGTGCTATCTGGTGGTGACGGTGAACTTTTATTTTTACGTCTCCCATGTCATACCCAGACTGTTGAGCGAGCTTTGAAGTTGACGACAGAAGCGGCCATTTCTCATTGTAAGGATTCATCACGATTAGGGGCCATAAAAACTAAATTGGAATCCCTAATAAAATTTCAAAAGAATGATCGCAACTTTAAGTTAAAAAGTTATAACTTTTTATTAAAATATTAAATAAGTATTTTACGCAAACTACATAATAAAATTCCTTGATAGTATTTTATATAACGTGTAAGATTTTACTTTATTCTCAGTTTGAATGCAAAATACTAAAGTTTATTAATTGGCGAACTTTACGTCTGTTTGTTCAAACTGATGTAAACGATTTATATGTTAAATTCAGGTAATTGAAGACATCTGTTTAAATTCAGGGACATGAAATCAAATTATTTTTTTTGTAGGTTATATAGATTTGTGTCCACAACAACTAGTATGTTTATTATAAATGTTTTATGGGACACACAAACAAATTCACATCACATACATAAACACTCGCTCTTGATATTTGTCACGATCCTGACACTCCTCTCTCGCCTCCTCCACATTCATACACCTACATTTACATGCTCGTCGGTTAAGCGTAATCCTAATTTGGGCCATTTTCAATAAATCACCAATTTGGTCGATAAAATTTCGCCTAGGACGTCATTTCCTACTCACAAATTCACTTCTGCAATATAAACTTTGCTTGGTCACTTTTTCCTCACTCATTCTTTCTATATGACCAAACCACCGAAGCATTCTTTTCTTAATCCTGGTCACAATAGCATCTTGCAAACTACACTCTTCTCTTATCACACAATTTTCCACACCGTCACTCAGATTCAGCTCCACACTCTTTAACGACGGCATTTCTACTGCGTTTATTCTACTCTCGTGCTTCTTTTTGCCACACCCACCTTTCACTACCATACGTTAAAGAAGGGACTAACACTACACTCTTCTCTTATCACACGATTTCCCACAACGTCACTCAGATTCAGACCTAACATACTCTTTAACGACCGAATTTCTAATGCGTTTATTCTACTCTCTTGCTTCTTTTGCCACACCCACCTTTGACTACCATACGTTAAAGTAGGGAATAACACTACATTGTAAATAGCCATACATGTCTTTTTTGATAAATTCTACTTTCTACAATAGAGTGTAAAGCCTCATTTACTCTATTTCCTGCGATAACTCGTCATTCTATATCCTTATAATATCTCCTATCCCTGCTAAAAAATTTAATTAATCGCTCATTAATTACAGAATGCCTAGGGATTGCCACACAGGGATATTTGCCACAGTTGCTACGCTTGGCACGTGGATTAGCAAGCACTGTATATTTTAATTACATGAAGTTGTACGTCTTCTAATATTATCTTTTTGCATTTTTATAGGATAGGGTGACAAACGAGCACACAGTCCACCTGATGGTAGATGGTTGCTGTGGCTCGTAAAAAAACTACAACTATCTTCGATTACGAATCGAAATGCAGATGTGTTGTCACCCGTGAGGACTAAGATGGAATGCCTCGTTTAAGTTAAAAGGGTCTCCGGTTCTCTACACTCACCATAAGAAGTACAGCAGCCTTGAGCTACTATTTTACGCTGGTATTCTGTGAGAGCGTGGTCCTTCCCCAGTCAAGCCAACCCATTCGTGCTACAAATATACTACCAATATAACTGCAGCATGACTCTACCACGTAAAAAACGTTTCGTATTTGGTTCTATTCTACGATCAATTTATATTTGATATACATAAATAAAATAATAAATATTAATTTATCAACTGGCGGAATTCACGTCTACCAAATATTTTATTCATGATCATACTGTTTTCGTCAAGTTATTTCATTAACCACAAAGCTCGTAAAAACAGCAACGGAACAGAAATAAACAAACAATATGAAATTAAGGTAATTTTCTAGCCGCACTTACAATTAATTTATCTCTATGCAATAGTTTACCTTCTGCATAAACTTCTCAGAAATAAAAGATCAGCTAAAGACTACATATAGTAAAAGATTAGCTATAGACTATTACCAGCAATATTTATGATAATATAGATACCTTGTCACCCCTCAGGAAAAGGATAGAGTGCCTAATACCAGTTAAAAGGATCTCCGGTTCTCCACACTCACCATACGAAACACAACAAGTTTAAGCTGTTTTTTTCTGTAGTATTTTGCTTAGGCTTGGTCCCTCTCCGCTCTAGCCATGTAATAACTGCAGATTGTTTCTTCCATTTTAAATATATCCAATTAATTTAAGCTTTATTGAATTACACTATAGCTGAAATTAATTTTATTAAACTAAGCCTACCAAAAAAAAAGTCAAATATTTATTTGTGAGACAGACAAGCACTACGATTAATGACAGACATTATATCTCTTGCGTGCCATTGTTGCCATCCAATCCATTAAGCTGTGTGACAGCTGACGAATTGGACATAATTCTCTTTCTGTTTTTAGGTTACCAATTTATCGATGGGATTTATTGAACTTATATTTAAATGTAAAGTTATATTATAAAACTGCTAGAAAACTTCTAGTTAACTATCATGATGATGTTGATGATGAAGTTTGTAGTGTTATGCTACTTACATATCATTTTACACTATTTTAAATTTATTTTTCCATTCTGTTTTTGATTTTCTGCATTCACCTCAAAACTGGATATTTTGCATCACCTTTAATTCCATAGGATCCTGTAATGTTTTTAAACCATAAGAACACAATAACAAATCATTTTCACTTCGTATTTTCACGCTATCAGCACATTTTAAATCGGTGTCCATGGAGCCTACATTTTTCGATCTTTTATTTAGTTCTCCGTAACTCTGCAATTTCGGGCTTCGTGTGCGCTGTTGCGCTACCTTTTTTCCTATCTTTACATCTTGCTTTAGGACCTCGAATTTTCGTTGGTTAATCTTCACTTTTTATTTTTATTTCAGACACATCTCGTTAGTGATGTTGCTGATCTCTGGCTTTGAGCCCTACCGCTCTGGCCGTTCTTAATCTTTACTTAAGTCATAGCAACTAAAGCTTGCTTAAGATTAAGTTCTTTATCCTTATCTTCACTTGGGAGTGGCTGACTACTCCCTTAATAAAATTGTTTTTTTTTCCACGCAGAAGCGGATGACAGCTCCTTAAATAAACCTGAATGTCCTTTCGAAAACACACTTTTAGAGTGGTGGTCATTGAATGTGAACTCCACCCTTACTTGAATGCAGACGATGAAT